AGCTGCCGGGGCCTGGGTACGGCTGCCCCCGCTGCTCACCCTCCAGTAGGATGGGGGAGCCAGCTGACCCTCCTGGGACAGGCAGACCATGTGGGTCCGCGTGTGTGGGAGGCCCGGGCCAGGGAAGGCGGACCCCTGTGGGAGGGAGAGGAGGCCCTGGCCCGGGCAGGGCACGGCCTCAGTCCCAGCCAGGCTGGACTCCATGCCCACCCTCAGGCCTCCCCTGCGGCTGGACCTGCTGGGCCCTGAGAGCCACCTGACTGCTGCCCAGCTGTTTCCAGGTTGCCCGCCTCCCCCACCACCCATGTGCAACCTTCCCTGCCTTCCCGGGACCAGCCCACCACAGAGGATCCCTGCCCACCTGCTGGCCTCGGCCGTGACTCCCTCCCTCGAGTAGCCTGGTGCTCAGGTGGGGCAGGAGCTATTCCAAACCCTGCTGCCTGCCCTCAGGGAGCCCCCCAGAAGGGGAGACCAGCCAGGCAGGTGACGGGGAGCTGTGCCTGCATGGGGTGTGGGGGCATGAAAGGGGGACCGGGCCTTGGGCAGCCCAGCAGGGCCCTTCCCAAAGCCCTGCTCCAGGGCACCCCACCTGGCGCCCTTTCCAGGGGCGGGAGCAGCCCCAGGGAGCAGCCTTTGGGACCGCCCTCCTTCCCCTCCTGGCTTCCTGCCCTGCCGCCTCCTCCAGCCCAGAGGAGCTCCCGTCCCAGCTGCGGCTAGTCCTCAGAGGCCCTAGATTCCAGCAGCGGGTCTGCTCGGCCCCGTCCTCCCAGCTCCCCACTCTCTGTCCTCCCAGCTCCCCACTCCCTGTCCTCCCAGCTCCCCACTCTCTATCCTCCCAGCTCCCCACTCCCTGTCCTCCCAGCTCCCCGCTCCCCGTCCTCCCAGCGCCCCACTCTCTATCCTCCCAGCTCCCCACTCTCTGTCCTCCCAGCTCCCCACTCTCTGTCCTCCCAGCTCCCCCCTCTCTGTCCTCCCAGCTCCCCACTCTCTGTCCTCCCAGCTCCCCCCTCTCTGTCCTCCCAGCTCCCCACTCTCTGTCCTCCCAGCTCCCCCCTCTCTGTCCTCCCAGCTCCCCACTCTCTGTCCTCCCAGCTCCCCCCTCTCTGTCCTCCCAGCTCCCCACTCTCTGTCCTCCCAGCTCCCCCCTCTCTGTCCTCCCAGCTCCCCACTCTCTGTCCTCCCAGCTCCCCCCTCTCTGTCCTCCCAGCTCCCCACTCTCTGTCCTCCCAGCTCCCCCCTCTCTGTCCTCCCAGCTCCCCACTCTCTGTCCTCCCAGCTCCCCCCTCTCTGTCCTCCCAGCTCCCCACTCTCTGTCCTCCCAGCTCCCCCCTCTCTGTCCTCCCAGCTCCCCACTCTCTGTCCTCCCAGCTCCCCCCTCTCTGTCCTCCCAGCTCCCCACTCTCTGTCCTCCCAGCTCCCCCCTCTCTGTCCTCCCAGCTCCCCACTCTCTGTCCTCCCAGCTCCCCCCTCTCTGTCCTCCCAGCTCCCCACTCTCTGTCCTCCCAGCTCCCCCCTCTCTGTCCTCCCAGCTCCCCACTCTCTGTCCTCCCAGCTCCCCCCTCTCTGTCCTCCCAGCTCCCCACTCTCTGTCCTCCCAGCTCCCCCCTCTCTGTCCTCCCAGCTCCCCACTCTCTGTCCTCCCAGCTCCCCCCTCTCTGTCCTCCCAGCTCCCCACTCTCTGTCCTCCCAGCTCCCCCCTCTCTGTCCTCCCAGCTCCCCACTCTCTGTCCTCCCAGCTCCCCCCTCTCTGTCCTCCCAGCTCCCCACTCTCTGTCCTCCCAGCTCCCCCCTCTCTGTCCTCCCAGCTCCCCACTCTCTGTCCTCCCAGCTCCCCCCTCTCTGTCCTCCCAGCTCCCCACTCTCTGTCCTCCCAGCTCCCCCCTCTCTGTCCTCCCAGCTCCCCACTCTCTGTCCTCCCAGCTCCCCCCTCTCTGTCCTCCCAGCTCCCCACTCTCTGTCCTCCCAGCTCCCCCCTCTCTGTCCTCCCAGCTCCCCACTCTCTGTCCTCCCAGCTCCCCCCTCTCTGTCCTCCCAGCTCCCCACTCTCTGTCCTCCCAGCTCCCCCCTCTCTGTCCTCCCAGCTCCCCACTCTCTGTCCTCCCAGCTCCCCCCTCTCTGTCCTCCCAGCTCCCCACTCTCTGTCCTCCCAGCTCCCCCCTCTCTGTCCTCCCAGCTCCCCACTCTCTGTCCTCCCAGCTCCCCCCTCTCTGTCCTCCCAGCTCCCCACTCTCTGTCCTCCCAGCTCCCCCCTCTCTGTCCTCCCAGCTCCCCACTCTCTGTCCTCCCAGCTCCCCCCTCTCTGTCCTCCCAGCTCCCCACTCTCTGTCCTCCCAGCTCCCCCCTCTCTGTCCTCCCAGCTCCCCACTCTCTGTCCTCCCAGCTCCCCCCTCTCTGTCCTCCCAGCTCCCCACTCTCTGTCCTCCCAGCTCCCCCCTCTCTGTCCTCCCAGCTCCCCACTCTCTGTCCTCCCAGCTCCCCCCTCTCTGTCCTCCCAGCTCCCCACTCTCTGTCCTCCCAGCTCCCCCCTCTCTGTCCTCCCAGCTCCCCACTCTCTGTCCTCCCAGCTCCCCCCTCTCTGTCCTCCCAGCTCCCCACTCTCTGTCCTCCCAGCTCCCCCCTCTCTGTCCTCCCAGCTCCCCACTCTCTGTCCTCCCAGCTCCCCCCTCTCTGTCCTCCCAGCTCCCCACTCTCTGTCCTCCCAGCTCCCCCCTCTCTGTCCTCCCAGCTCCCCACTCTCTGTCCTCCCAGCTCCCCCCTCTCTGTCCTCCCAGCTCCCCACTCTCTGTCCTCCCAGCTCCCCCCTCTCTGTCCTCCCAGCTCCCCACTCTCTGTCCTCCCAGCTCCCCCCTCTCTGTCCTCCCAGCTCCCCACTCTCTGTCCTCCCAGCTCCCCCCTCTCTGTCCTCCCAGCTCCCCACTCTCTGTCCTCCCAGCTCCCCCCTCTCTGTCCTCCCAGCTCCCCACTCTCTGTCCTCCCAGCTCCCCCCTCTCTGTCCTCCCAGCTCCCCACTCTCTGTCCTCCCAGCTCCCCCCTCTCTGTCCTCCCAGCTCCCCACTCTCTGTCCTCCCAGCTCCCCCCTCTCTGTCCTCCCAGCTCCCCACTCTCTGTCCTCCCAGCTCCCCCCTCTCTGTCCTCCCAGCTCCCCACTCTCTGTCCTCCCAGCTCCCCCCTCTCTGTCCTCCCAGCTCCCCACTCTCTGTCCTCCCAGCTCCCCCCTCTCTGTCCTCCCAGCTCCCCACTCTCTGTCCTCCCAGCTCCCCCCTCTCTGTCCTCCCAGCTCCCCACTCTCTGTCCTCCCAGCTCCCCCCTCTCTGTCCTCCCAGCTCCCCACTCTCTGTCCTCCCAGCTCCCCCCTCTCTGTCCTCCCAGCTCCCCACTCTCTGTCCTCCCAGCTCCCCCCTCTCTGTCCTCCCAGCTCCCCACTCTCTGTCCTCCCAGCTCCCCCCTCTCTGTCCTCCCAGCTCCCCACTCTCTGTCCTCCCAGCTCCCCCCTCTCTGTCCTCCCAGCTCCCCACTCTCTGTCCTCCCAGCTCCCCCCTCTCTGTCCTCCCAGCTCCCCACTCTCTGTCCTCCCAGCTCCCCCCTCTCTGTCCTCCCAGCTCCCCACTCTCTGTCCTCCCAGCTCCCCCCTCTCTGTCCTCCCAGCTCCCCACTCTCTGTCCTCCCAGCTCCCCCCTCTCTGTCCTCCCAGCTCCCCACTCTCTGTCCTCCCAGCTCCCCCCTCTCTGTCCTCCCAGCTCCCCACTCTCTGTCCTCCCAGCTCCCCCCTCTCTGTCCTCCCAGCTCCCCACTCTCTGTCCTCCCAGCTCCCCCCTCTCTGTCCTCCCAGCTCCCCACTCTCTGTCCTCCCAGCTCCCCCCTCTCTGTCCTCCCAGCTCCCCACTCTCTGTCCTCCCAGCTCCCCCCTCTCTGTCCTCCCAGCTCCCCACTCTCTGTCCTCCCAGCTCCCCCCTCTCTGTCCTCCCAGCTCCCCACTCTCTGTCCTCCCAGCTCCCCCCTCTCTGTCCTCCCAGCTCCCCACTCTCTGTCCTCCCAGCTCCCCCCTCTCTGTCCTCCCAGCTCCCCACTCTCTGTCCTCCCAGCTCCCCCCTCTCTGTCCTCCCAGCTCCCCACTCTCTGTCCTCCCAGCTCCCCCCTCTCTGTCCTCCCAGCTCCCCACTCTCTATCCTCCCAGCTCCCCACTCTCTATCCTCCCAGCATCCCACTCTCTGTCCTCCCAGCTCTCCACTCCCTGTCCTCCCAGCTCCCCACTTCCCTAAGACAGTGAAGTCACGGGCCTCAGTTTCCTTATCTGTCCCAGAACACACTGCTCTGTAAGACTCGGTGTGGGTGGTGCAGCACCTGCCCAGCAGTAGGCACTCAGGGAAGAGTGGCCGCCGGTTCCACTGTCACCCCCACCCTGAGGCCGAGCCAAGCTTTCGGGGGCCCTTCAGGTCTCGAGGGCCCCACTGCCAGCCTGCTCAGGAGGAGCCTCCACAGCCGTTCCCATCTTTGCCTTCAAGATGGCAGCCGGACGTCCAGGGGCTCATCAACCAGCTGGAGGGGCCGATGGCCATTCATCCCCCTCCTTCAAAGGCCAAGGTCACCAAGCCCAAGAAGTTCAACCTGACTGTCCCCAAGCCCCGAGCCATTCCAATGCCTGAGCCTGTCCCTGTCGTGGCCAAGCCAAGACCAGTAAGTGCCAGCATTTGCAGTGGGCACAGGCCGTCCAGGCTGGGAGAGTGGGCCCTGTGGGCCAGTGGGGGCTGGGCTCCTCCCAGAGCCGGGGGTACTGACCCAGACCAGAAAAGGAGCATTCGATGGTGGCTATATGGATGGATGATGGATGGACGGATGGATGATGGATGGATGGATGGATGGATGGATGGATGGATGATGGATGAATGGATGGATGATGGATGGATGGTTGATGGACGGATGGATGGATGGATGGATGATGGATGAATGGATGGATGATGGATGGATGGTTGATGGACGGATGGATGGATGGATGGATGATGGATGAATGGATGGATGATGGATGGATGGTTGATGGACGGATGGATGGATGGATGGATGATGGATGAATGGATGGATGATGGATGGATGGTTGATGGACGGATGGATGGATGGATGGATGATGGATGAATGGATGGATGATGGATGGATGGTTGATGGACGGATGGATGGATGGATGGATGATGGATGAATGGATGGATGATGGATGGATGGTTGATGGACGGATGGATGGATGGATGGATGATGGATGAATGGATGGATGGATGGATGGATGGATGAATGGATGGATGATGGATTGATGGATGGATGGATAATGGATGAATGGCTGGGTAAATGGATGGATGGATGAATGATGGCTGGCTGGCTGGCTGGATGGATGATGAATGGATGGATGGATGGATGATGGATGGATGGATGATGGATGAATCGATGATGGATGATGGATGGATGGATGATGGATGAATGGATTGGTGGGTGGACAGATGATCAGCGGCCTGTTGCTAAGCAAGTCCACAGTTACCCTATGGGTAGGATCCTCAACGTTTCTGGCCCCAGGTCCCCAGGTCAGTGTGTTTACCTCTGGTCATCTTCCAGCGGCACCTCCCGCTTTGCCTGGCCCCTGACCGCCCTCCATGCCCCACCCTGACCCTCAGTTGTGGGTGTGCCTCTCGGCCTGGACTGTGAGATGCTGGTGGCCAGCTGTCTCCCCTGGGTCCCTGGCGGCTGTGCTGGAGCCACAGGCTCGCCTCCCCCCAGCCTCCCTGCCCTGTTCCATGCCCGGGACCCTCTTCCCCTCCTGGGTGAGGGCCTGCTCCGGTTCACTCACTCACTCACTCGCTCAGCAGTGTGTATGGATGCCTAGCGTGTGCCAGGCCCTGCCTTCATGGAGCATTCCCTCCGGGGGCGGGGCGGGTGGACTCAGAGAACAAACAGGACAAGAAGACGCATGGTGTGTTGGCTGGCGGCAGTGCTGAGGGAAGGCCATCCCAGGGAAGCGGGTGAGAAGCCTGGGAGGAGCTCGGGACAGGC